CGTGTGCCACAGCTGCTTGAGATACCACTGACAGCACACTGTAAGCTGTGATGTCCCACTGACTGTAACTTATGCAGCTGCTTCAGATGAATCCCATACATCACCTTCTTGGGGGATGGTGCATTTTACTGTCGTGCACTTCAAAACTATCTAGGAATTCTCTACACCTTTCTCAAGCAGGTGGCCCTGAGAAGCTTCAGCCATTTCACAAGGATGGACTGGGGGTCCTACAGATGGTTGGGAGGATTTTTTCTACTTCCTTTAACAATAGTTTTGAAAAAAAACACCCTTCCAATATGGAAAAACATACAGCTTTGTTCAAGAAACAAGCTTAGATAATGACAACATGCTTTCCTTTTTTTGGGCTCAGATTCAGTAAGAATGATGTTGTCAGAGCCCAAGCTGAAGGAAGCAAAGGAACTGAACACAGACCATTTTGAAAAGCATTTTGGCAAAATACAATTGCTTTACAAATCAAGAATTACAGTTCTTGTGCATGATCAAATGGAAGTGGCCACACAATAAATACCCACACAGAGAGTGTGGGTATGGGACCACACTAGGACCATCCTAGGTATGGGACCTTATTCTTCAAACACAAAAAGTGAAAGAGAGGCAAATGGAGAATTCTGGCTGGGCTCACTTCTTCACTTGTCATACTTGGATCAATGCCAGCCATGGCTGAATTAGAACAAACACTGGTGTCTGCTTGAAAATCAAAACCAATTATGGGTTTGGAGAAAGAGAAGCTGATGCAATGACAGAGGTAAAAAGTAGGCAGAGAATATAAATGATTTCTGCCTGCAGACATGAAGGACAGTAATAGCACAAAGAAGCAGAAGGACCTGGTTATCTGGTTCCATGCATAAATGATGCCAAGGAAAGCAGAGGATGACACTCTGCATTTCATGGAGGAAGCTAATTGATTCTTTGAGGGAAAAAATGTCCATTCAACCTGAACTTCAAACTCTTTGCAACTGAGGAATGGAACATGGTACGTGGTCAACATCTGGAGCTCCCTGCATTGAATCAGACTTTGTGGAAAAATATTTAGTTGCTCCTAGTTCTGTTTCCCATAATTCAGTTTAATTAAGAAATAATTATCAGAACTTTTTGGTGACAGTCCCTAGCTTGGAACTGTCAGCTCATTTAAAGCCTTGAAATCATCTAAGAAAAACAGACAGGGACACATTCAATGCTGAGATTAACATTTTTGTCTCCTTATAGTGAAATATTTTAGATGTTGAATATGGCAAATTGAAACCTAAAATGTCTAACTACAATCTCACCTCATTCCCTCACCTCCCCATCCCTGAAAGAAAGGTATTCACCTATAACTAAAGGAGAATCTCCCTCTTCGTTCCTGACGTTGGGATTGCAGCCATTGAGCAGGAGAAAACGCACATTGTCCACAAAGCATTTTCCCACTGCCACCACGAGAGGTGTCTCTCCTTTCAGAGTGGTCTGTTCCCACGTCACGGCACGGGAGGCTGAAACACAGAAAAGCAGAACACATGGGAAGTTGGGTGATTCACAGAACTTGATTTTGTAAAACTTTTTGGTGGAAAACCAGAAGGACTCTGTACCTTTCAAAGTTATTTCAAGGATGTTCTTATTGAGCTGTGCTGCAGCTTCATGCACAGGAAGCCATCCTTGCTGATCTGCTTCTTCAAAAGCAAAGCTGTGCCTCACCAACTTCATCAAGGCCTCTTCTTGGCCTGTGATATTTTAAGACACACACGTCTCATTCCTCACCATAAAACAAAATTCAGGCAGCTAATATATTGAGTGCCATTTCTCCTATCAATGTGTCTAGAATAAACAACTTGCTTTGTCAGAGCAATTTTTTTCTCAGAAGGTGATTGAACAATCAATGATCAACATTGATTCACAAAGTGTTCTGAATTATACATTGAAAAAAACTTACTTAAAATAACATGGCTAAAATCATTAAAATACAATCCTCTGATGATCAATCAATAGTGCATGAAAGTTTTATGTATAAACAGGTGTCCTAGTGAAACTATAGGAAAAAATATTTAGGCTGGCAAAAGTAAAATGAAACTGATTTAACGGAAATGAGACCTATCTTGTTGTTCCTACTTTTACTCACAATATTATTGTATCTTTAATCAAAATAAGTGTTTATGTTTTCAATTTTATATCTCATCAAGAAGCAGCAAAACTTTCTTGGTCTGGAAAGCCTGTTTAAGTAGAGCTCTGGTTCCTGCTCTTCTGCTAGTTACAGCTATAGGGTGAGGGGACAGACTGCTCTCAGCTCTGCTGCTGAGGTTGTTGTACTTACGGGAGAATTACATATTCATATAAGGCCAGACAGCAAGTGTAACTAGAGTTTAGACACATTCTCCATCATGCACAGATCATTAATAGTATGTGCTGTTCCAGAAAAAATTCTTGGTTTCTTGATTCCCACTCCATTACTATCTCTAGACACATGTAAGGACTGCACAGAAGATTCCCACTGCTCAACAACTGTCCAAACAACTGTCCTACTTATGCTCATTGTTTAGCTCTCTCTGGAATTCAATATATAAATTGATTATACCACAAAAGGTGGAAGTTTCAGAGGAGCAGACTAAGAGCATCTGATACTGGAATACACTAAAGTTTTGAAGTTAAGGACCAATACTAGAACACTCTGCAAGTAGAGAAGGGATTTCAACTTGCAAAGTGGCAAATTAATACTTCAAAATGGCTTATTTTGAAAGAAAGGCCTGGAATTTCCCTCTAATTCCAGGAGATGAAGCACTGGAAATTCTGAAAGGAGTGACACTTGAACCCATCCCATTACCATGATCCTATCTAATCAGTTAGCTTTTGGATGTCCTGTTTCCAGTTGCCTTACTCCTCCCAAAACTATATAAGGGAAAACTGCACTTAAATCAGGTGATCCAAGCCCTAAAATGTAGCCCTTGCTCAGCAGTTCCTAGGGGTATAGGCTTAGTTGGTGCATTTGTACTTAACTGTCCGAATTGCTGCAATTATCTGTCCATGTTCTTTACTTGCAGTGTACAGGAAACTGCACAGACAGAACAAAGTGAGAAGTAAAAGTTAATGTGAAGTTCAGCATATAATTATACTTTAATTTCAATATTCAAGTCTAGACTATATGTCAGAGTTCTTTAACACAGGTTTTGTCAGGGTTGCCACATTAAACACTTTTTTTTGTTGGTCTTCCCCTGACACTGTAAGCACTGAATTTTTCACACAAAAGCCAATAATTAAATACTAAGGTGAGGGAAAGCAACCACACCAATCCATTTTTACATCAACTACTTATCTTCTTCATTAACCCTTGTACTCATTTAGATAATGATGGTAAAACATCACCTCAAAGTTTCATACATTCCATATTTTCAAGGCAATGGATATATTTTTCAGGGAGAACTCAGAACCAGTGAGCTACCAGTGGTTTCCAGTATCCATGAGATGAGGTCAGCACAATACAACATGGGGAGTCACAAAGGAAAAGAAGGTTACTACATGTTTACAATAATGCCAAGAAAACACCCAAAATAGAAGTAATAACTCACTACCTTTCACCCTCTGTTGCACTGCCACTCCTTTCAGCTTTATGCCTGCCTTGTAAGCTTTCCTGAATAGCTTGTTGGGTAGGGATTTCTTCATCAGAGTCATCATGGAACACATACATAGAACTATACATGGCAAATCCACACAGCCTGGGTTGCCCCTCGTGAGGAAACACTGCCTTGGATTGGAAGCAGATGTTAGATCTTCAGGTTAAATCTGGAGCAAGAGAAATAGCAATCACTGTTTGAGTATCGAGAGAAACGAAACGTAGTTTAAAATAAATTAACTGGAACTTCTCCATCTCAAGCTTCAGCCTCCTCCCAAGGGTTTAGGTCTGTGCTGAGGGGACCTATTCTATTTAGAACAGAGTAAAGGTTTTCTACTCCCATAGCATGTCCTAGCTTTTTTCTGTTCCACAGACCAAACATACAGAATAGCTACTTGTCCTGGCAATACTTACTAGAAAGCAACAAAACCAGGCCAAACTTAGCTTTCAGAGAGACACTCATTCCCTCTTATTAAATTGTTTAGACACTCAAAGATCATCACAACTGTGCTCTGATGTTTCCTTAGCAGGAAACCAGATGTGCAATAGGACACAGGATGCTTTTCCTATTTGTTCACAGAGGGCCTGGAAGGGAAGGACAAGTGAAGGACGAAATCTTTCAATAACAGCTTTTGTTCAAACTGCTTCAACAAAGACATTGTTGGGGTGATATCTTGTAGGCAGGAAAGTAATGCAGATTTGTGCTGTTATGTGCCCCAGCCATCCACTGAAACAACATCCAACTCCACACTTGAATAAACACCAAACTTTACCACCTTATGTACACAATCTACTGCCAGGTACAACAGACAAACCTACAGTTGTGCATTCTTCACCATTCCTCACCTGGTCCTTTCTAATACTCACAAGGGATATACCCAAATACTGCAACAAGATATATCCAAACACAGGCAGAAATAAAACACACTGGTGTAATGACAAGTGAGGTAATACCAACAACAATGAAAAGCTTAAGAATAGCATTAGTTTAAAAAATACAAACCAAACAAAACCACATAAAACTTCTCAAAATGGAAAGGGTTCGATTAAAATATTTTAATCCTTTCAAGGTTGCCAGAGAAAAAATGGAACACAGAAATAAATCCAGTTGATACTATCTGTTAGGTCTAAATGTTAAAATTTAAGAAGAAATCATAAAAACTTCTTCATGATCAGACTGCTCATTAAACAGTATGATGGCTGTAGATGTACACTGGGACATGCTTAAGCAGTCACACTGCTCTTTGTATATTCAGTTACATCTTGTTATAGAATAAAAACACAGATGTTTTCTTAGGCTCAAACCTCTCACCTGTTTTACCTTATCAAAACTTTCCCTTCTGTCTTTCAAGAGAGTTGGCCTGATAAAAAAACCTCACCAAAACTACAGGGCAAAATAAAATACAATGAATAAGCAAAACTGAAGCAAATAAATAAATTGGCAAAATGAATGAGCACAATAAATTTAAGGAAGTTGTCAACACGCCACTTACAAAGTTTGGGATAATTCTAGAAACATCCTGAAGTTTGGCAGCAGGAACTCACAGCACACCTGCATCATCAGTTACCTGCTCCATGCAATGTGTGACTGCAGGGCCTTGCTCTGTTAACTGCACATGGAGAAGAAAAGAGATATATTAGCAACACATTCAGACAAGTAACTGTTAGCAATTGATTAGACTATGGCACAGTGAGTACATACACATTTCAAGTCTAGACTATTTGTTTTCTTGTAAAAAGACTTATTAATTCCATATAAATTGAGAAAATACCCTGGTTTTTCTCACCTTGTGAAAGAGGGAAGACCTCACACTTTGCAGAAGTGATTATTAAGTTGAAAATGATCTTGGTAGAGCAATGTCCATTAATAGCTCACTATAAATACCCGATCATGAGATACTCTGGGACTTTCTCCATGTTTCTTTCACACAGGTCAGTTATGTTTAACAAACTGACTTGACAAATGGTATCAGCAAAAGAAGGAATTAAAAGTCCAGTTTCCTTGTAAAAACCTTTTGATTTTGCAATGAGAATTTCAGAACTATAGCAGCAACTTACATTGTGACAAGAAAATTCTTTCGTGTTCTCTTAAGAAAGAAAAGGGACAATAGTTTTAGGAGTTTACTTAAAGGAGCAAGACACCATAAAAAGATAAACAATAAAAGTAAACATAAACAAGCAAATAAAATTAGCAAAAACTCTATTAAAATCATTATGTTTCTAATAGCTTAATCACAATTCACATCAATATAAAACAGAAAAGCGAATGAAAAATAAACATTTCCTTTTAAAAGGAACAGCAATTCCAGCAAGACAAATTTACACTGGTGTAACACAACAAGGAGGGACACGAAGGACAGAGATGCCTAGTTGCAATAGTGATGGTAGGATGGAGTGAGGCTTTTGTGTGCTTCAGTTACTCCTACTGTGTCTTACAGAGGGATCTGTACAAATAAGTGATGATGACTGTTTCTGGGTGGAAGGTGGAAACAGCTCTTTTCTAGAGGAGATCTTGAAAGAATGTTTGAGTGGATTTTGTTTTATTTATTTTTAAAGAAAACAGAAGTGCAGAATCAGTGGAGGTATTTGAACTGAACTGCTTCTCTGGTGCAACAGAGAAACGCATTTTACGGCTGGTGGTCATAAGGAAAAATTTATCATTTATTCTTCATGGGAACTATCTGAAAAAAAACCCTTACAAAAATCAAGATATCTGAATTACACCCTGAAGAGGTTAATTTGCTGGGGAAGGCACCAGAAGTACCTACTACACGTAGTTAAATGGTTTCTCACAAAGCAGTCTGTATACAAGTCCAGACTGAAATCCCAAAACTTACTACCTACTGACATAATTCAGCACTCGTAATGCTTCAAGTTTATTACCTGCAATGTTTCTCTCAGAAAGTGCAGACACTTGCATTTGCCATTCAGATATATTTTGTGACATTCAACTAATTCATAAAATAGATGTCCACACACATTAATAATATTGCTAAGAGCTAGAATCCTTGCTGTATTGCTTAGAGATTCTAAAGACACTAATAATAATACATTCTTAATTAAGACAAAATATTGAGGATCAGGAAGTATTTGCGTGCCTTGTGTGAGTTTCTTTTACACAGTACGTTCCACCTCCTCTGTAAGCCAACAAAAAGAACAGGGTCTGGTGAAGTCTGTCTGAACTGTCCAGAGCTACTCACCCAGCTGGCAGAGCAATGCCACACCTCTCCTGATCCAGTGCTGGACTGCTTCATCCACGCTGAGCCTCAAAGCAATGATGAAGTTAGTAGAATGACCAGGGTAGATAAGACTCTTTTGCACTCACTTGTCTTGCAGAGTAGGCAAACATAGGCATCAGGTTCCTTTATGACTGATTTTGCAGCTTCAAAAAAAACCCAAACCAAAATACTACATTACATTCAGATCTACTGATAGAAACAATCTATATGCAAATATCAAGTATTTACAGTAGCATCTTTAAAGCTAAATAAAAATGCACAACTGTTTTGTGAGCAACAGAACAAAATTATCTCACTTTTATTTGTTTTCCTGTGTGGCTTGTTTTGTTTTTAAGCCCAACTAATTTAGGTACAACTTGTTTCCAGGACTTGATGCCTTCCTATGATTCTACCAGCTTTGTAATTACTCCAAGATGCATTAAAATCTGAATAGTCACCTAATTAAACAGTTTGTATGTGACTTTTTGACAGCTCTACAAGAATTCTGGTCCAGCTGCCACAGAATCTAACTGCAATTCAAGTCATCTGAGATCCCAGGACAGAGCTGTGCAGGAACTGTTTGTATCCCTAGACTGCTTACATGGAATTTGTGCAAATCATCCAGGTCTGAACAGAGTCATCCAACCTCAAGAGAAAGCACAGGCAGGAAACATGGAAACTTTTGCATTGGCTATTTGCCTATTTGCTAACATCTAGGTTGTTGCAACCAGAAGTCCTGATTATGTGAATAAAAAACCCCAGGAATTTACTCCTCCTGATCAAAGAAAACAAGAGTGTCATTGTCTTTGCTAGGGACTCCTGTGCCTCTTTTAAACACTCCTTCTTGGGTTCAATCTCCTATTCAATTACAAGCAATACACAAGTGCTTATAGTACATTTTTGTAACTTTTATTATTTAGTACAATGCTTAGGGTGAATACACCAAGCAAAGGGAAGATTTCATAGCAGTGAGGGACTAGGAAACACACCTTTGACACCTTGCCAGACACTTCCACTCCCATAATCCATTTGCATAAACCCTCTGCTGCCGAGGAAGCTTTAGCCACCACTTGTGGATCAAACTCTGGATTAGTCAAGTATTCAGTCCCAATCTTCTGCCTGACAGCTTCCTGGATAGCAAAAGCATTACAGCTCATCAGAGTCTTGTGGCTGACACTTTCAAATCACACTGATTGATCACCATTGCTCTACACAATGAAACAGGAAAGACCTATTCATTTTATAACTGTTACAGAAATCACTGCTCATTTCTTTTGATTTTCCTATCACCATTTGTGGTCTTTTCCCATTTTCATCCTAATCCTATCCTTATCCTTTATAATCATGCATTTGCTTTATCTTCCATGTGGCAGATCCCTAAGTGCTAAGAGCATTACAGTCACAGAGAAGCCTTAATTTATGCAGTCCCTTGTGTAAAACACACTTCATCACTTGCTAGCTTTCCTCAAGACACAGCTGTTGGGGATCATTATACAAAAGTATTTCTAGCAATGTAAGACAAAACCTAAATTGCTTGTGCCTACTTTTGGGGCCCAGTTTTATAAGGGGCAAAGCACCTTGCCAAAAAGGGACATTAAGTTTGTCTAGCTCCTTCCAAGGCACCTGCTTATGGCTATTTTTGGACACAGGATAATGGACACAAGACAGTGTGTTTACTCTGATACAGTTCCCTATGTGTTATTTTGCCTTTTGATGAGATGCTGTCCTCAAATAGCCAACTTAGGAACCATCGTGCACAGAAGGACGTTTCATTCCAGCAGAAGACAGGATGCATATAAACCTCAGAAATTCCAAAAGAGAATTCTAAAACCTGAAACGCCAAGTACAAGGCTCACTCTGAGGAAGTTTGAGTCACTTGCCATGACCATACCCATCCTGTGGGGATGCCCTATCATCTTGTGAAGATCCTTGGGGATAACAGAAACTGACTCATTTGGGACAAATATGCAGCATTTTCTAATTTTCTTTTTTTTCCTCTGCAAGAAAAAGTGTCTACATGTTAAAATCACTGAAAAATTAGACAGAAGCCTTACTGAAATAGGTTTCTGGGAACAGTTTCTCAATTCCTTCAAGAAATTGATGCTGCCAAGCATTTTCTGGCTCGTAGTCCAGTAATCCAAAAATCTACAAAATACAGTAGGGAATACCTTTTCAAGCTTTAAAACAAACACACAAACAAAAAATGACAAATCTCTTTGAATTACAACTCATGCATATTTAATACTGATGACCTTGTGTCTCCCTGAGATGCCAAACCAGAGCAAACATTTCCTTCCAATCATACTTAAAGCCAAAAAGTAAACAGTTCCTCAGGGAAGTAATGTATTGCCTATTATCAATATACAAGTCAAGCAAATTAAAGGAGTTCTCTTTGCACATTACAAAATTTGGAAAATAAGGAATTCTTGAAGTTTTCAGTGAAATGATGGGTAGAGTCTAAAAGTACTTGTCTATTTTAATGTACCTTGGCTGATCTTGTTTATTGAACAAGTGTTGAGAAGAACAGGAATTACATTTCAATTTCAAACCATTGTCTGCCACTTTACCCTGAAGGATTTGCAATTTTTTCAGATTTTTCTTCTCTTATGCCACAGCCAGCAGCCATGACAAGTTTGACACCAGATGGAGGATTTTTCCTTATTCTGACAATTGCTGTATCAGAAGGCTAAAATAAAAAAAATACATGTAAAAATTATGACAACTCTTATGTCTTTCTCACCACTCACTTATCAGCTACACGTTCAAGGGCATCTTCAGGCCACGGCTGAGGGAGAAGTAAGGAGAAAAGCATTTGCAGAATTCAGCTGTTAGCAGCCTTCATACTTTGAAATCAATTTTTACCATTCAAAACACCAAAGTAAGCCACAGTGTGTTTCAAGAACAGTGAACTGATATAAGGGTTAGGTCAGGCAGCAAGGTTACCACCCATGCAGTCTTTTCTGGTAACTCATAGCTAATCTTCTAGTTCAAAACTACACATTGTCATTCTGTCCAAACATTTCTGTGTCTGTGACATCCTTTGGCAAAAAATTTAACTGACATGAGCACAGGGTCAAACTATAGTGCTAATTGCACTTTATGGAGAGCAATACCATTGGCATCGAGGATCGTTAACTACAGTCATTTTCCAAGTTTTACTCCACTATAAAAGATCTACTGATAAACAACAGGATTTGTATTCCCTAGTCATTCCTATGATGAATGACTTGCTTAGCAGGCAGCAGCAATTAAGACCATTTTACAATCCCATTGAAATGGTTTCTCTAGTCCTTTACAACATACACATTGTGTAATAAAATGACAAATTACCATCATCAAACTAAGACTATTCACTACTTCAGCAATGAAAAATCTGTACCAATAAAACTGATGTATATTTAGTTGTAGAAATAATGAGATTGCACAGCAAAGAGCTCCCAAAATATTACCAAAAACGCCTGTGCTGGTTTAAAATCTTGAAAAACACAGAGTACTTCTAAAAAGAAGACAAAAGAAAATCTAATGGGACATAAAAATACAGAGCGTGAGAAAATTGAAGTAGCTTTTTGAGGAAATAATAAATATTTTCACATACCTGGAACCAATCAATAGTGCAGCAGTTGATGAGTGATGGAAATTGTCCCAGATGATTGTGGAAAGCATCTCCAGTGGGGCTGAATGCTGCCACAATGTGGAGATTTTCTTTGCAACAGTTCACAAAAGATGCAAACAAGGTCAAGGACTGAGCTCTTCACGTTGATTGTCAGCCTGAACTACAGCAAGAACACCCTTAGGAACAACACATAGCATAAAAAATGTTATATGACTTCTCACTAAGTACCTCTGAAGTCCTGGCAATGACTGCATCACCATGGAATAAAATTTTGTGTGGTAAATCAAACAGACAGAAGAAAGTAGAAAACCAGAACAAGTAGTACATTCTCTCCTTCTAAATCATAGCAGTTTTAGCAGTTTGAACTTTCTTGAAGTCCAGCAACTTAAATGTATTTTAAAGTAACAACTGGTGGTAAATGGGTTAGATCAACAAAACCTCTCCCTTCCCTCTAACTCTGACAGTGTTTTATAACTCATATGTGAAATAGATTCTGAGTTGTTAGGAAGCATCTGCACATTACTGAGAGTCTTGGTGAGAACTCAAACACAGCAAAGCATGTAGGACATGGCCTGCTAAAGGACAGGGCATGGGGTGGTTAAAGCAACTAAGCAGCAGTCAGAAGTGGTCCGAAAATAAGTTTGAAGCATTTCAAGAAAGATAAAGTCTTGTTTATTTTCATTTGATAGAAAAATAAAGGAATCAAATCCAGATGTTCTCCATGAGATTGAACTCAAGACTCCAAACATGCTCTCCTGGCTGCTGTTCAATGAGGTCACTAGGGTATTGCTCCTACACTCAGCAAGTGGCCTCTGATTAGAGGCTGCCAGCTCTTCAAACTCCCAGCCTAGCTGTGTATACAGGTTCTCACAAATCCAGCTTGACAAAATGACCTAGACTAAAATAAGCTGCTATTAGAAGTGTTTAAACTAACCCTATTCACCTTCACAAAGTATCTACGTGTCAAGTTACACAGGCAAATACGAAGAGGCAGTAATCTCTCGCAACAGGGAGGAGGGAGTTGTGACCTCCTAATCTATCTCAGTTGTAGCTCTGCCTGATCACAAGTTAAGGTAACAATAGCAGCCTTCAGAGTCTAAAATTTCACAGGATTAGCCACAGCACCAGGCTGGGTACGTACCCCAAGTGGGGCATGGCTGTGCTGCATAACAACAGAGCACAGAGACAGCTATGATCGATCGTGCGACATCTCACTCCTAGAACCCTTGTGCCTGTGAGGTGCAAGTCCAGCAGCTGCAGGCAAAGCTGACATGCATCTTCACTGGTCACAGAGGCCCAGCAGAAGTACAAGCACCCACCTGATCCAGTGTGCAATGTCTATGTAACAACTACAGAAAATATTCAAAGCCCCTTTGGAGGAAAAACCTCTTCTTATTTACTTTCAAATAGAAAAAGCAGATGCAAAAGAGAAAAACCAGTTTACTTCCATTGGAAAAAGTAACACCACAAACACTTTTATGGATGCATAAAGGAGAGAAGACATACCCAAAACCACAGTCCACAAAACTGAATATACTGAATTATCAGCTACATCTTAAATCTCTTAATAATACACATCATTCACACCTGAAAACTGCCAAGTTCATTCTTGTTTTCTGGGTTTGATTCTATTCATCCAGACACTGCTCCACAACATCACCAAACTGCTGAATGCTTGTAACTTCAACGTAAAATCTTTCACCTCCCTCAAGTTCTGAAATCATGTAGTCACCAAACCTCTCATGTCCTCCTCTGTTACCTATGATAAATATTTAACAAACTATGAAGTCAGGTTTAATATTTAATGAACACATTCCTCACTGGAATTCTAGAAAACAAAGGAGAATTTGCACAAATACTCCAGATCCAAGAACAAGCACTCTGAAATATTCTGACTTACAGACAACACTCACCTTGAAATTATTTTTCCCAGGTTAAACTATATACTTATTCTTAATCTGTTCTTGGAAAACAATTGGCTCAAATAGCCATTAAGAGTCTCATAATCCTGACCTTCAGGCTACACCAAATTTATACAGATGGATATTATGAAATCGACAGCTAAGGCTACAAAGTTATTTCTTCTATACACGAATGAAATGACATGGGAAGAAAAAAAATGAAGAACAGAAAAAAGAAAGACAAGGCATAAAATACAACATGATTAGACAACATTTTAAATACTAAAATTTTAAAAAAATCACAGAATGCTGTTTGCCATGTGGTAACTCAGTCACAAGCTAAGTTTAAACAGGGAATGGCTCCTTTGTCAGATGTCAAATGTGCAATGTCTCTTTCATTTGAATTTCACCATGTCTTGAATTAAGTGAAACTCACAGTAACAGATTAAGCACCTCTTGCTGGTCATCGAATCTTCAGTATGTCAATGTCTCTTCTGTAATGGTGACACATCAGATGTGACTGATGAAGGTACAATAGTGGGAAGAAGCAAAGTTCTCAAAGTCCATTTATTGGGAGGTGCTTCATCCTGGTGCTCCATCTTGTTGATGGACCTTGAAACTGTAACAAAACCAAGATTCTGCAAGACAATCCTGTCCAAAAAGCAATTTAAGAGAAGCATGTATTAGGCTGAATGTACACAAGATGTAAAATGAGGTCACCTCAGGAATTTCCATAGTCCAGGTATGACAGCTTAGCTATCAGAATATAGAAAAACAGTGTATATGATGAAATGGCAAAGTTCAGCAGAAAGTGTGTAAATACAAACTCTGCCATCGTGGAAACTGATGGAACAGTTTTATTAACTCAAGATTAGTATGCTGTATAAAAGTAAAGGTTCCAGAACAAATCTTTGACAGTGCTAATCTCTCAGCTGTACAGCACACAGAAAACACGAGAAAAAGGGCCTGTTAAACCCCCTGACAGGCTGCACCAGACCTAGGCACATTTCCTGCTCTGATGGGGCCTAAGACAGCCTTCCTGTTCTGTGGCTTGTGTGCAACTACCTTCTCCTTGCCCATCTGATCAGTAAAAACCAAGTTATTTTCTATGTGCAAAGTACTCATTAAAAGTTTTATTCCACATAGGGACAGGTTAAGAAACTGCATGATCATATTGTAAAAAAAACCAGTGTAAAATTGGAAACTAACCAAATTATTCTGTGATGCTCAAAATCTTGCGGTGACCTGAGGGGATGCCCTGCTTTTAAGCATACACTCCATCAATAGACCCTAGCAATAGTGGTTTATGTATTTACCTAAGGCAGAGCAGGGCACAATTTCATCTCAGCCACCTGTCTGGAAATGCTTATCTGAAACACCACATCAAGAGCCTCTGTAAATACCAAGCAGGTGCTTGACAGTAATTTACTCATTTAAACCACAGCAGCTCTGAGGTCTCTGGATAATACTGCCTTGCAGTATGCCAAAGGCTGCATCTTCAGAAGCAACTAGAGGAAGGCTTGTAATTTGGTGGGGTGGATATGGGACTCAAGCAAAGCAGGTGGAAGCTTTGGTTATGACCAGAGTTATGGGTAGTTGGGCTGGGCAACAGGAAAGTGCAGACAGGTATGGGCTCAAGATAAGAATCCTAGGCTTGGGGTGGGATGAAGATGTGGAGCATATAAATTGGTAGCCACAGTTAAAGACACCAGGAAACCAAAGTTTGACCATCTTGTATAAAACAGATTAAGAACAGGGAAAAAATAATTAGGGAAATAAAGACAAGAATAAAACCCTGTTGTCTGACTGGGCTCAGGTTCAACGGATAAACAACCCTCTACAGCGCCTTCAGCGGCTGAGTACAGCTATCGCAGAGGACTGGCGGCCAGTTCACCGGGAAACGAGACGTACACTACTCACAGCCGCATTTCAACAGGTTCCCGCGGGGGAGCAGAAATTCAAAGCTACTTCCTTAATCACTGGTATGTGCTAGATGTGCACGAAAACGGGCGGCAGTGGATGCCTCAAAAGCTATAAAACTCAGCTACAGAGAGCCGGGACGACACTGCCTGTTCCCAGCACGGCCCGGGGACACGGCGCGGTCGGTGGGGGACACGGCGCGTTCGGTGCGGGGGGAAGAGCCGCAACAAGCCCTGCGGCCGCGCCGGACCCAGGGAGAAGCTCCCCGGGCCCACGGAGGAGCATTTGTTGCACTTGATTCAACACCAGACTAATGTACTCTCGCGGCTAAAGAAAAAAAGCAGAGATTTGGAAAATCCTTAACTGTAATTAGCCTGCCACGTGGCTCACACAGTCCCTGTGCTGCCGCGCTGTGCCTGCACCCAGCGCATAAAACCCTCCTCGTCAGAAACTCCCTCAGCCGTCAGGTGGTTGTTGCTGAGCTTCTGCTTTTTTGTACAAATGGAAATGTCAAGAAACTCCACAGATTTAACACATGAAAAGTTTAGGCAGCATTTTCTCAGACCACAGAGCTATCTTACCCTGCACAGCCCCACACGCGGAGACAACAGGAGCAGCGGGAGAAAATTTTAGCTCCATTTCCTAAAGTCCTGCGCTCCCTCCTAACGTGTTCTCCCAGCCCAGGCCT